GTGGAGAATGTGCCTCAGCCTGACCCAGTGGTATGTGCGGATTGCAATCGGTCATTCTCGCGCCCTGGAGATTGTGCTCACCACAAATGTGTGGTTGAGCGGGCAAAGCCGATTGCTGAGCAGCGAGGGGCTTGCCACTGTGGAGATTGTGGGCGTTGGTTTCGCAGCAAGGGTGGTCTAGCTGTTCACCGCTGTTCCACACCTCAGCCTCAGCCTCCCGAGCCCCGGCAAGTCTATGTGCAGGATGCCTGCTGTGCTGCGCACTGTGCTGTGTGTGCCCGCTGCTTTCGGTCTGTGCAAGGCCGCGGTCGTCACCGGTGCTCGAGGACTGGCCCGCGCCCGACTGCCCAGCAGAGTAATTCGTTCAGCCATGTATGCGTGTGTTCTCGCCAGTTCCGTTTGCTCCACCATCTCCGGCGTCATCAGGCTGCGTGCTCCATCTTCCTCTCTGATGCCCCTCCGGGGCCCACGTGACCCCTGTGGCAGTGGCTCTACAGGACAGGACAGGATGTATGTATGTATGTATGTATGTATGTATGTATGTATGTATGTATGTATGTATGTATGTATGTATGTACTCAATCTGCGGACAGCATGCTGTTTCGTTCTTTTTGAACTCATCAGCGCAGCACAGAGGAAATGAGGCCGAACCTGATAGCAATAGAAATAAAAATTTCCAATCAGGCCCGAACGTACCTTGCCAGAGTGCTCAAACTGACAAGTCAGTGAGCTCTGCATAACGCAAACAGCAAAGGCACTACCCCACGCAAGAGTGCTCAACTGCTACAAGAGCAGGAGCGAAATACTCAATCATGCGTGTATATGTATGTATGTATGTATGTATGTATGTATGTACTTAGTAAGACTACTTAGTAAGACTATGCCTGTAGCTGCAGAAAAAGTGCTCAACATCCAATTTCTTGTGGGGGGGAAATGACACATGTCAACAAACAATGGATCACTCGTAATATTTCGCTACTCCGAGTTTCATGCACTGTGTGCAATCCTCAGGCAAACAATATTCAATGCAGACTGGTCAAAGCATAATGGGAATTTAATTAAGGTGGATGCAGGCGGAAGCAAGTGTAAGGCTTAGTGGGACCCCTGATACGTAATCAATGGGCTAACTTGCCGGCTGAGAAGTGTGTGAAGCTGAGTGCTAGATGACTATAGCATAGTGGGGCAGTGCAATTTGCCAAGGCGCTAGCTGTTGGATGCCTGTACTACAGCAGAGCCAATTTGCAGTGGGGGGGGGGGGGGGGGGGGTGCTAGCTGTTGGATGCCTGTACTACAGCAGAGCCAATTTGCCAAGGCGCTATCTGTTGGATGCCTGTACTACAGCAGAGCCAATTTGCCAAGGCGCTATCTGTTGGATGCCTGTACTATAGCAGAGCCAATTAAGTCCGACGAGTTACAGTTAGGTACAATGGCGGCACTTGCCTCTTTGGTGGTGGTAGGATTCAGGTGTTGGGTGCTGGATGCCTGTACTACAGCAGAGCCAGTGAAGTCTGAGGAGTTACAGCTGGGTGCGATGGTTGCACTAGTCTTTCAGGTGTGAAGATTCAGATGCGTGCTGGATGCCTGTACTACAGCAGAGCCAGTGCCACACCAGGACATGCCTTGCTTAGCAAAGCATACTGGATGCCTGTACTACAGCAAAGCCAGTATGCGCTATTTGGCTAAGTCACACCTGAATACTTGCTCAGCTGGTATCTAGTGCTGTGCCGGCATTTGGCGATGAGGTCACACCTTGTGTTCAGGAGGGTTGCTTTGTCGGCCGTGATAATTTCTAGCTTCTCTGTGACAGAGGTTACAGCGCTTAGTTGTTGGGCTGTACGACTTGGCTCTGCGCTTGACGTTCCATGACGCGTTGTACTCCTGACCCTGGTTTTTGAGCGACCAAACTTAGCTTGACAGCTCGGTGGAGTTGCGGTATTTTTCGTGCCGCATTGAGGTCTTGTGATTGGCGTGACGAAGTTTGAAGGGCGTCTCAGCCGACCCAATGTAGTACTTAGGGTCGTTTGCGCCGCCCACGGCTGCTTCGTACACGACACAATCGGTCTGGCCTGCTCCACGCAGCGGGCAGTTGGCCTTGTCACGGCAGTTGCACGGCTTTTCTGGAGGGGTGGGGTGCAGCTTAGCTTGGTTGTGTCCCTTGATGATGGCAGAGACGTTCGGGAGGCAGCTGTAGCTAATCTTGATTGAGTTCTTGTTGAAGATTTTGCCGAGGGGGGAACCTGCAGGGAAATGTCGCTTGATGAGTTTTAGGAAGACTGCCCCAACATTTGTCTTGACATTTTTGCTGTATGGTGGGTTGAACCATATGATGTTTCTCTTTCTCTTCTTTCTCTCTCTGGCCGAGGAGAAGAAGAGAAAGAAGAGAAAGAGAAACATCATATGGTTCAACCCACCATACAGCAAAAATATCAAAACAAATGTTGGGGCAGTCTTCCTAAAACTCATCAAGCGACATTTCCCTGCAGGTTCCCCCCTCGGCAAAATCTTCAACAAGAACTCAATCAAGATTAGCTACAGCTGCCTCCCGAACGTCTCTGCCATCATCAAGGGACACAACCAAGCTAAGCTGCACCCCACCCCTTCAGAAAAGCCGTGCAACTGCCGTGACAAGGCCAACTGCCCGCTGCGTGGAGCATGCCAGACCGATTGTGTCGTGAACGAAGCAGCCGTGGGCGGCGCAAACGACCCTAAGTACTACATTGGGTCGGCTGAGACGCCCTTCAAACTTCGTCACGCCAATCACAAGACCTCAATGCGGCACGAAAAATACCGCAACTCCACCGAGCTGTCAAGCTACGTTTGGTCGCTCAAAAACCAGGGTCAGGAGTACAACGTGTCATGGAACGTCAAGCGCAGAGCCAAGTCGTACAGCCCAACAACTAAGCGCTGTAACCTCTGTCTAACAGAGAAGCTAGAAATTATCACGGCCGACAAAGCAACCCTCCTGAACACAAGGTGTGACCTCATCGCCAAATGCCGGCACAGCACTAGATACCAGCTGAGCAAGTATTCAGGTGTGACTTAGCTAAATAGCGCATACTGGCTCTGATGTAGTACAGGCATCCAGTATGCTTTGCTAAGCAAGGCATGTCCTGGTGTGGCACTGGCTCTGCTGTAGTACAGGCATCCAGCACGCACCTGAATCTTCACACCTGAAAGACTAGTGCAACCATCGCACCCAGCTGTAACTCCTCAGACTTCACTGGCTCTGCTGTAGTACAGGCATCCAGCACCCAACACCTGAATCCTACCACCACCAAAGAGGCATGTGCCGCCATTGCACCTAACTGTAACTCGTCGGACTGCTGGCTCTGCTGTAGTACAGGCATCCAACAGATAGCGCCTTGGCAAATTGGCTCTGCTGTAGTACAGGCATCCAACAGCTAGCACCCCCCCCCCCCCACTGCAAATTGGCTCTGCTGTAGTACAGGCATCCAACAGCTAGCGCCTTGGCAAATTGCACTGCCCCACTATGCTATAGTCATCTAGCACTCAGCTTCACACACTTCTCAGCCGGCAAGTTAGCCCATTGATTACGTATCAGGGGTCCCACTAAGCCTTACACTTGCTTCCGCCTGCATCCACCTTAATTAAATTCCCATTATGCTTTGACCAGTCTGCATTGAATATTGTTTGCCTGATGATTGCACACAGTGCATGAAACTCGGAGTAGCGAAATATTACGAGTGATCCATTGTTTGTTGACATGTATGTATGTATGTATGTATGTATGTATGTATGTATGTATGTACCAGTACCCATTAAGTTAGATTGTCAAAAAGGTAAAAGTCTGACGTATGGCTTATACTTAAAAACAAAAATACGAATTTTGGGACTTAAAAGCGGCACGTAGCTTAGACCCTGGGGGCTGGGGAAATGAATGTCGCAATCCACCCGTGTCTTGTCCTGTGCATCAAGCACTACATGTTGTACCATCCGACTTTGTAGGATATCACTGGACATTAACCCTTTTCATACTTGGCCCCTTTTCCCCTGTGGAGAAAAGGGACCACGCACGTTTGACGTTTTGACGCCCATCGCTGGAGGCGATGATAGCGATGCTACAGCCGAAGCCATAGTAAGTTGTGCTGGGATTGCACCATTCAACAGCTTGCATGGCTGAAGAATTGACCGCCACTATTCAGCCTGGTCTACACGACACAGCTATGAAGAGGTTTTCTGGCCAGTGAATCCCTGCTTTTAGTCTTTTTCATTTTTTCCATACACACATCACATCACATACTCTTGCATATACTGGCTGTTGGTATCCACCCACGAGAATGAAAGCAAAGTCAGGATTTGAGAAAAAGAAGAACGACGTGTGTGACCATAATCGTCTGGAATCGAACCCGCAACCTCTCGATTGGAAATCGCTGCACATACCACTGCACAGCCACCCCTCCCCCCCCCCCCCACACACACACCTTTGGTTGTTTGGATGCCCATTGCTCGTGCAATGATAGCAACAGGAGTTGCAGTAATTCCTCTGGCGAGTTAGACCGTTGCGCAAACAGGAGTTCCTGCCACAGCCGCAAATGAACACTCTAGGCTTTGGCACAGCCGGCCGGGGTCGGTTGCACATGAGGCGCCAGTTTCGTCTGTCCTGCGCCAAGTCGCACCAGTCACCTGTCACGCACCGAGCACTCAGATCAGCAGCGGCGATGTGAGTCCAACGTTTCTTGGGACCGTGTCTGGGCCTTGTGTTGAGCCCCTCAGCAAACAGGACACGCTTGGGGAGACGGGAATCCTCCATTCGCCCAAGGTGGCCAAGCCACACACACACGCACACACACACACACACACACACACACACACACACACACACACATATACCCATGCACAAGCACACATACACACACACACACACACACACACACCTTGACCTTGTGTACAGCTGCCAGTAACTGATAAACTGATAAAAGTAAATTGATCAACTCATTTCTGGTGTTGTTTGTGTGCTGTGTTTCTGCTTGGCAACAAAGAACGAAATGAAGAAAGAGGAACTTCGAACTGGTGGGTGCCGATCCGTCTGCTAGATTTTAGGAACTTCTTCGTAGTAATGATTTTTGGTTATCAAAGTCTTCACATACGAGATATTAGAGAAAAAAAGACAGAGACTGTGACAGAGAGAGCGAGATAGATAGATAGCTCATGTGGGGTAGTGCCTTTGCTGTTTGCATTATGCACAGGTCACTGACTTGTCAGTTTGAGCACTCTGGCAAGGTACATTTGGGCCTGGTTTAAATCTGGCTTTGGAAATTATATTTTCCATTGCTACCAGGTTCGGGCTCGTTTTCTCTGTGCTGCGCTGATGAGTCCACAAAGGACGAAACAGTTCTGTCCGCAGATTGATAAGATAGATAGATAGATAGATACGTTTCCAATCTCTCTCTCTCTCTCTCTCTCTCTCTCTCTCTCTCTCTCTCTCTCTCTCTCTCTCTCTCTCTCTCTTGTGTAGATAGATAGATACAAAGGAGTAATTTTGGCAATTGCCAGCAACCATAATTATAGCGTCTGTGTGATACTGGCGTTATTCGTGAATCGTGTGGAGTGATGTCAATTTAAACGCCAAGTATCACACATGATCATGTTCATAGTGATTAGTCTCAGGTTTTAGTCTCAGTCATCTGATTGCAATAGCATGAAACTTTGAGTTATGAAAAATCCAAACTGGACCTCTTTCTGTCTTTTTAGTGAGATAGATAGATAGAGATATACCCAATGCTGTATGCTGTATAGATGGAGAGAAACGTAGAGGCAAACAGACAGAGAAAAGGGGTGCGGGGGGGGGGGCAAACAGGAAGAGAATAGAAGTTGGAGCGCTTGGGTTGCAATGAAGCCGAGACCCTATGGTCGGTCAAGCTGCCCCTGCCTCTCCCCCACCCCTGCCATTCCATATGTCTCATCGCTGCCTTGCTGCTTTGTGCCGTCGAATGGTGTGTGTTTTTTTGTAAAAAAAAAGAAAAAGAAAAAAGAAGGAAGAGCAAAGGGGTGGGGCGGGGGGGGGGGGGGGTGGGTGGGTGGGGTGGGCTCTCAATTTCTTTTGTGACTGGTAAACTCTGTTGTACTTGAGACATTCTACCATTTCCCATGATAACATGTACTAATGATTGTTGCTGCTACTGCTGTTGCTGCTCTTCTTGCTGCTACTGCTGCTGCTGCTGCATTATTGTTTATTGCAATGCAGCTGCTGTCGCTGAGGACATCATTGGTGGTAAGGACGAGGCCAGCGTGGTACGCGTGCGTATGTACCTTGTCGGCAAGTACGCCACGGGAAAGTCCAGCTTTGTCCGGGCACTGCTCGGTGAAGAGTTCATTGAAAACGCGGACAGCACCGACTCCATTTCCATCCATCGATCCAGACTCAGAATGCATCTCTCCTCTCAAACCGCCACAGGCACACAAGAGGCAGCACAAGTTCTTGTGGATGACAGTGAACATAGTTTCTTTGCCAATCTACTCACAGCTCGCATCCGATCATCTGTAGAACTGGTCCAGAAAATCAAGGAACTTCCGCAAGAATCGATCTTGTCCAAAGTCCAGACACTATTCACTTCATGGCTCACTTCGTCATCTACTGCCTCCGCTACCGGCACCAGAGCATCTCCTGCATCCGCTGTCAACAATGAGTTTGCCAATGTTCCCCACGCTAATGACCTGACCAAAGTGGCACCAGATGTTATCTCTCAAGTTCGCTCATCTGTCAGCAATGTTGATAGCAGTTCAAATGAAGCCGAAGCAGCATATGCGTTTGTTGAGCTGTGGGACATGGGTGGACAGATGCCGATGTTGGTACAACAAAGCATCTCGTTTTCAGTTTGTGACAGCGTGTACATTGTGACTCTTGACATGAGGTGTGACCTGGATGAGGAGGTAACGGAAGACGTATACCGCTTTGATGGTCAGGAGATTGTAACTTCTACACCGTTGCCAGGAATGACGCAGGCTGACTACCTTCACATGTGTCTGTCACTGATTGCTTTGCAGCATAGAGCAGACACACACACTGACCAGCATCACCACCAGCAGCAGCATCAGCAACAGCAGCAGCAACAGCAGCATCAGCAGCAGCAGCAACAGCAGCATCAGCCAGACACAGAGACGGGTAAGACCAGTAGCAGCAATAGCAGCCACCATCATGATGAGAGTAGCACAGCCATCATGGTTGTTGTTACACATGTGGATCTTGTCGACGACGACCAAATAGAGAAGAAGACGGACATGTTCTTCAATGCCGTGTCCAAGCTGGCTGAAAGGGCCGGACCCAACGTCAAGGTCTGTGGACCCTTCTTTGTTGACAATCACCGTCTTCAAGATCGCGTATCTCGCCACAGCCAGCTTGCTGAAGCACAGCAAGAGCTCTCTAGAATTGTGTCTGCCTTTCCTGTCCGAGGAATTCCCTTGATGCAGGTGAAGATAGAAGAAGCTATTTCTCTTCACCAAAAGGAAATGCTGCGCTATGCAGAGGCTGGATGCAGTGATGATGCAATGCAAGCTACCAGTAGTGATCAGCAGCAGCAGCAGCAGCGGCAGCAGCAGAGTTTTGTTAGTATGGACTACCCACAGTTTGTAGACTTTTGTCGGCATGTTAGCGGCAAAGATCTCACCACTGCACAAGTGTCTGATCTACTGCACCACCTTCAGCAACATGGCACAGTGGTTTGCTGTGACTGCCCGCATCCACTCACTTCAAGTGTCATTTTCCTGGAACCCCAGCAGCTATTACTCAACTTTGTACGCTTGATGACCTTCCCTCTTAAGGAGACAGCTTTTCCAAGCACCTCAGCAACATTAGTCAGAGAAGTGCAACACTTTCGACGTACGGGAATTGCCAGCGCGAGGTTGATAGAGAAAGTTTGGTATCCTCTCAGCCGTGTTGTCCAGCTAGCTCTCTGTAAATCAATGTGTTACTTCAACTTGGCAGCAGAACTTCAGCCCGCCAGCAGTGCAGCCACCAGCAGTACAGCCACCAGCAGTACAGCCACCAGCAGTACAGCCACCAGCAGAACAGCCACCAGCAGTACAGCCACCAGCAGTACAGCCACCAGCAGTACAGCCACCAGCAGTACAGCCACCAGCAGTACAGCCACCAGCAGTACAGCCACCAGCACCAGAGGGTGTGGCAGTAGAGTCGGCGGCAGCAGCAACAGCAGCAGCATCAGCGGACAAGACAGATGTCCCGTTGTCACGTCAGGCCTACCCGACCTCTTCATCCCGTTCTGTTGCAACCAGGAAGCATTACGGTTGGTTTTGGAGGATGATGTTCCCTTTAAGCTACCGTTTATCCACCTCAGTTTCCCTGGGATGCTGTTTCCTCCACCACTGTTCGGTCGCTTAGTCACCTACGTAATTCATCGTATGAAGAAAGAGTCAGCCAGTCTTCGGTTCACATCCAGTGCGGCATCACTGAATTTGGAAGTTGGTTATGGTCAAGTATGCCTCTGCTGGACACCGACAGGTGTTCGCTTAGAATGCGCTGCTGATACACCATCCATACTTGCTGATGTGGCTTGGGATATGAAGAGTGCAATTGTTGACTTCACACAAGTTCTCAGCACCCAAGGATACCAGCAGTTCACAGTTGTTGGTGAGTCATTTGTCTGCACTTCCGCGTCATGCCAGGATCGCCTGAAGGGATGCAGCAGTCCTGCAGAGGTGCTGGTACACTCGTCGTGGGTGTTGCTGACCAGCAGGCACAAGAAGCAATTCTTGACGGCATACGAGTCGGATATGAACACCGCTCTGCCCTTCAAGGCAATGTGTGCTACCTGCAAGGAGAGGGTCATTGTCCCGAGGTCCTTCTGGCCCTGGCTGTGTAAGGATGTGCCAATTGTCCAAGCTGAGGTGAGTTGTGAAGATTTTCTTCCACTGTCTTGTATGGTTTCAGCATACACTTGAAATGTCAAGCTGGTAGAATAGATACTTTGCTTCAGTATCTACACCATCATGTGACTGTGATCATGTGACTGTGATCATGTGACTGTGATCATGTGACTGTGATCATGTGACTGTGACCATTTGACAGTGATCATGACACCGTGATCATGTGACAGTGATCATGTGACTGTGTTCATGTGACCGTGATCATGTTCATGTGACAGTGATCATGTGACTTTAATCGTGTGACGGTGAGGATTTACTGATCAAGTGACCGTGTGTCGTTTTTTTGTTTTCATTATTTCTTCAAGGAGAAGTAGTTTCTTTTCAGCAATACTCAATAGAATTCTACTTGATGAAAAAGCTAGCATAGAATTGCAATGCAATACGAATGGAGGATAATTATTATTTTACGGTATACGTCTGTGGAATGGCCTGACTGAACTTTTCTTTTGTTTGTGTTTCTTGCCTGCATATCTTCGGATTTCTAAAACGATTTCAGCAGCCACTAGCAGCAACAACAGCAGCAGCAGCAGTGCCACCAGCAGCAGCCGCATTACCTCAGTCATCATCAGCAGCAGCATCAGCAGCATCGGAGTCCGCATCAGCAGCAGCACCTGTACCACCAGCAGTACAATCATCATCATCATCATCATCATCATCAGCAGCAGCAGCAGCAGCATCAGCAACAGCAGCTGGAGCAGCATCAGCAACAGCAGCTGGAGCAGCAGCAGCATTAGCACCAGCAGCAGCATTAGCACCAGCAGTACAATCATCATCAGCAGCAGCAGCAGCAACAGCAGCAGCAGTACAATCAGCAGCAGCAGCTGGAGCAGCAGCAGCATTAGCACCCGCAGAGGCAGTTTCATGCCAACGGTCAACATCACCGTAAGCACATAGACTTGTTGTAATTCAAATCATGTGTACATGGTACAGGTATTGCTTCACACCTGATCTCAATTCTACCTTTCATATGCTAATAGCAATGTTACTCAAAGTCCATACCACTATTTTTGCAATGTTACTGGAAGTAATGCCATCATGACGAGGTGTTCTCTTGCTTGTGTGTGTGTGTGTGTGTGTGTGTGTGTGTGTGTGTGTGTGTGTGTGTGTGTGTGTGTGTGTGTGTGTGTGTGTGTGTAGACCTTTTGAATTTAGGGCAGCGGATCCAACGACGTGACTTACAGGACAATTATTTGAATTTGATATTGTCACTGTCGCGTCGTCCGTAGTCCTCCATCCGCAGTGGGCTAGCTACCCCTCGGATGTGTAGAGTTTCAGCTTCAAAGCAGCCAGAGTTTGGAGGCACCCGTCGGAGGCGCCCAGCTGGTGCTCTTGTCAAATTTGCTTCGTGGAACGTCAGGACTTTAGTAAACATCGATGGCCCGGTTTCAACTGCTGCTCGTGGAAAGCGCGTCGTGGAAGACAAGAAAATCAACATCGTTGTCAGTGAACTTCGTCGGTACGAAATAGAAGTGGCTGGATTCCAGGAGTCGAAGTGGTTTGGTAAAGATATATTCCGTGTCGAGGATGCAATTGTTCTCACGTCAGGTCGCGCCATCCCAACGGACGATTTCAAACGAGGCGAAGGAGTTGGAGTCGTACTACGCGGACGCGCACAGCAAGCGTTCGTAGCAGGGGGAAATCAGTGGTCTGCTGTCTCATCGCGTGTCGCACGCTGCAAGCTAAAGTTCGGTGACATTTGGGTCCACGTCGTGGTGTGCTACGCACCGACTTTCCGGTCCAGTCGCGATGCAAAGAACGATTTCTTTGACTCTCTTCAGGAAGTTATTCTGTCCGTACCCACCCAGGACTCCTTGATAATCTTGGGAGACTTCAACGCTAGAGTTGGAGCTGAAATCTGTGACGATGGCTGGTATGGAACACGTGGCCCACATGGTGTTGGCACTGTCAATGAGGCTGGCGCTGAGCTTCTCCAGTTTTTAGCGTGCAACAGCCTTACTGTGTGCAACACCTGGTTCATGAAACGTAACATCCACAAGTGTACCTGGCAACATCCCCGCTCGAAGCGGTGGCACTGCATCGACTATGCAATGGTCCGGGAACAAGACTTGTCCAACTGCACGGATTGCCATGTCATCAGGAGAGCTGAGTGTAGTACAGATCACAACCTTGTGTGTCTCACATACCGCATCCGCTCATCTGCTTGCCACAAGCGTGCAAAAAGACCTGTCAAGTTTGATGTGCAACAACTTGTCAAACACTCCTGCATGACGGAAGCGCAGAGAGCTGCAACCTGTAAAACTCGTGAGCAATATGCGACGTCTGTTGCGTCAGAGTTACGATCCTGGAATCATGATGGCTGCGTTGAGGACAAATGGTCTGCCGTCAAATCTGCTATCGTCACCAGCGCTGAGAAGCATCTTGGCCGTACACGTCGTCGCCAGCCTGATTGGTTTGAAGCGTGTGCTGATGTTCTTGCACCTATGCTGGATAGCCGCAATGCCTTACATCGCAAATGGCTCGCCTCTGGTTCTGACGCTGACAGGCGTCGCTTTGTCGAGGCTCGTGGCAAGTGCAGAGCTGCCGTGCGTAACGCAAAGAGTGAGTGGATTGGACGTAAAGCTAATGTGGTTGAGTCAAGTCGGTTTAGTGGCAAGCACGCATGGTCTGCAATCCGTGATATACAGAAGTGCTATTCGGGATTATCACCCATCTCCATCCCATCCATCCGTGACAGTGACGGAGTTATCTGTAGCTCCCAGGAGGGGCAAGAGAAATGCTGGCTGCAGCATTTTGCCCGTCTATTGAACGTTCGCAGCACCTTCGATGCTACCATCTTTGACCACATTGAGCAGCGTGAAGTTGATGAGTCACTCGGCCAACTTCCCTCGCTAGAGGACCTCACTATGGCTATACGCCAGCTGGCTAATTGCAAGGCTCCTGGCTCATCTGGAATTGCACCTGAACTGCTTAAAGCTGGTGGTACACCATTGCTTGAGGCTCTGCTTGATGTTATCCACACTGCATGGACCAACGGAACGGTTCCCCAGGATTGGCGGGATGCCCAACTCGTCCCGATTCCCAAAAAGGGTGACTTGACCAACTGCAACAACTGGCGCGGCATTGCCCTCCTAGATGTCGCTGGCAAGGTTTGTGGCCGTCTCATTCAGGACCGTCTCCAACTTGTCGCGGAACAAGAACTTCCAGAATCCCAGTGTGGCTTTCGCCCTGGTCGCGGCTGCGCTGATGCCATCTTTTCCATTCGCCAGCTCATCGAGAAATCGTACGAGCACCGTCAGAAGCTGTTCTGTGTCTTCGTAGACCTGAAGAAAGCATATGATTCCGTACCACGCCAAGCACTCTGGCTAGCATTGGGGAGGCTAGGCATTCCTGAGGGGCTCCTCAATCTAATCCAATCGTTCCACGAGAGCATGCAGGCAGCTGTGCGCGTCGGTGCCAGCACTACCGAGCCGTTTGCGGTCAACAATGGCCTCCGTCAAGGCTGTGTGATGGCCCCAGTACTTTTTAATCTGTACTTCGGTGTTGTGCTTGAGCGGTGGGCACAAGTGATGCAGGACAGCGACCATCCACCTGGCATCCCCATCCAATTTAGCATCAATGGCAACCTTTTCTCAAAGCCCGCTCGCCAGTCTACTGCCGCAATCATCAACGACATTGAGTACGCAGATGACGCGGTCTTGCTCGCTGAAGACCGCCCTGGTGCTGAGAAGTGCCTTGAAACATTCTGCACGGTTGCCTCTTCCTTTGGCCTCTGCGTCAACGCTGCTAAAACGAAATTTCTCGTGGCAGGTAGCCAAGTCAACATGCCTGATAGAGCCGATATGAACGTCAACGGTGATACTGTGGAGCACGTTCCATCCTTCATTTATCTGGGGTCCGTCGTGACACCGGATGCCCGCTCCTCTACTGACGTCAGTCGCCGCATAGCTGAGGCTTCCAAAGCCTTTGGAGCTCTTCTTCCAGTCTTGTCGGATCGCTCGCTGTCATTAGTCAGTAAGCGAAAGCTATACGTGGCCTGTGTCTTGTCCATTTTGCTGTACGGCAGTGAGTGCTGGACGCCCTTGAAAGCTGATAGTAGACGTTTGGATGCCTTCCATCATCGCTGCATCCGCACAATATTAGCCATCCCTCGCAGTCAGCAGCAATCCGATCGCATCACGTCTGCGCAGTTACGTCGTCACTGGGGTGACCCAGTGCCACTCTCTGTTAAGATGCGCCATCGTCGTTTAGAGTGGCTTGGTCATGTGGCTCGGATGTCGGAGGACCGTGTCCCATTGCAGCTGTTGTTTGGTCGTTTGTTGGCTGCGCGCCCCTTCTGCGGTCCCAGGCGTAGGTGGAGAGACGTTGTGGCTACTGACACGAAGCCCATTCCAAACTGGTTTGATTGCGCACAAGACCGGTCAGCTTGGCGAGAGCAGGTTCTGGTTTTTCAGCCTCCTCGGGCAGTAGAGAAATCCGTACTCTGCTCATCTTGCAACCGGGCTTTCTCTCGTCCTCAAGACAAGGCACGGCACAAGTGTTTGGCTGAGCGCCAACTTCCCGTCCACCAACAGCGTGGTTCAGCACAGTGCGTCAGTTGCTGCCGATGGTTCCGTAGTAAGGGTGGGCTTGCAGTTCATCGCTGCCAGCCTGCACTCCCTGAACATGCAGATACGGCATTGACGGCGTCTCTCGCTAGTTGCTGCTTCCAGCATTGTCAACGCTGCAATCGCTGCTTCAAGTCCCGGGCTGGTTTTAACCGCCATAACTGCAACCGTGGAAAACGTCTTGCTGCAGCCGATAGGGAATCACTGCCGCTGATCTGCATGCATTGCCCGAAACGTTTCCGACGACAGCAAGATTTGACGAGGCACCAGAAGTCCTGCCAATGACGGTGCACTCCAAACTCTGGCCCCCTCCGGGGGTGACATTGCCCAATGGGCAGTCATGCTATAGTAGTAGTAGTAGTAGTGTGTGTGTGTGTGTGTGTGTGTGTGTGTGTGTGTGTGTGTGTGTGAGTGTGTCTGTAATGTTTGATTTAGGGAGAAGCTTGTAACAGAAGATGGTTTAGCAAAGGTACTTCAACCAGAGCTTAACACTAACCAACCATGTAAGTCACTTCAACACTACCGAATAATATTGATTTCTACAAACAATAGGAGGACAGAGAAAGTGTTTCTACTCCGAGCTTTACGCACTAAGCGATCATCAGAAAACTTTCTCTGTCCTCCTGTTGTTTGAACCGGCTCTACCTGTTGGTATTGAGCACTCTCTTGGATAGCCTGGAACCTCTCTGTGTTTAATGATTTCTAAAGATGTATGCATAGTGGTAGAGTGAAACCTGTCTAAGGCCACCCCTCAAGGGACGAGAAAAAGTGGTCTAAGGCCACCCCTCAAGGGACGAGAAAAAGTGGTCTAAGGCCACCCCTCAAGGGACGAGAAAAAGTGGTCTAAGGCCACCCCTCAAGGGACGAGAAAAAGTGGTCTAAGGCCACCCCTCAAGGGACGAGAAAAAGTGGTCTAAGGCCACCCCTCAAGGGACGAGAAAAAGTGGTCTAAGGCCACCCCTCAAGGGACGAGAAAAAGTGGTCTAAGGCCACCCCTCAAGGGACGAGAAAAAGTGGTCTAAGGCCACCCCTCAAGGGACGAGAAAAAGTGGTCTAAGGCCACCCCTCAAGGGACGAGAAAAAGTGGTCTAAGGCCACCCCTCAAGGGACGAGAAAAAGTGGTCTAAGGCCACCCCTCAAGGGACGAGAAAAAGTGGTCTAAGGCCACCCCTCAAGGGACGAGAAAAAGTGGTCTAAGGCCACCCCTCAAGGGACGAGAAAAAGTGGTCTAAGGCCACCCCTCAAGGGACGAGAAAAAGTGGTCTAAGGCCACCCCTCAAGGGACGAGAAAAAGTGGTCTAAGGCCACCCCTCAAGGGACGAGAAAAAGTGGTCTAAGGCCACCCCTCAAGGGACGAGAAAAAGTGGTCTAAGGCCACCCCTCAAGGGACGAGAAAAAGTGGTCTAAGGCCACCCCTCAAGGGACGAGAAAAAGTGGTCTAAGGCCACCCCTCAAGGGACGAGAAAAAGTGGTCTAAGGCCACCCCTCAAGGGACGAGAAAAAGTGGTCTAAGGCCACCCCTCAAGGGACGAGAAAAAGTGGTCGCCGTGGCCAGGTGGTCTTCTCATCCAGGTTCAGTGGGTCACGTGACCATATCCACACATGTGATACATCATTTTTGATCAGTGCATCACAGTGCACACACGTACATGTATGCTACTCTAGCAAGACTCATGTGCCTGGGGTCCTCAGACCTGTCATGCACACACCTACATGTATGCTACTCTAGCATGACTCATGTGCCTGGTGTCCTCAGGCTCAGACCTGTCATGCACACACCTACATGTATGCTACTCTAGCAAGACTCATGTGCCTGGTGTCCTCAGACCTGTCATGCACACACCTACATGTATGCTACTCTAGCAAGACTCATGTGCCTGGTGTCCTCAGACCTGTCATGCACCATGCACCTGTACATGTACACAGTTCCTATACTGATCATGTGTAGATGTAGCATGCAGCCTGCTGCACCATGCAATGCGTACATTTACATGCACTAGCACTGTGCAACGCGGTCGCGGGTCCGAGGTGTTTTGAACGTGAATGCGTCCGTGACAAGGCAAAGTGGTCGCCATGGTCGAGTGGTGGCCATATCCGAGTGGTCGCCATATCCGAGTGGTCACCATATCCGAGTGGTCGCCATGGTCGAGTGGTCGCCATATCCGAGTGGTCGCCATGGTCGAGTGGTCGCCATATCCGAGTGGTCGCCATGGTTGAGTGGTCGCCATATCCGAGTGGTCGCCATGGTCGAGTGGTCGCCATATCCGAGTGGTCGCCATGGTCGAGTGGTCGCCATATCCGCGTGGTCGCCATGGTCGAGTGGTCGCCATATCCGTGTGGTCGCCATGGTCGAGTGGTCGCCATATCCGAGTGGTCGCCATGGTCGAGTGGTCGCCATGGTCGAGTGGTCGCCATGGTTCAGTGGTGGCCATGGTCGAGTGGTCGCCATATCCGAGTAGTCGCCATTACAGGTTTTACTGTATATGCAAATCATGAACTATAACTGATGTCACCTTTCGCGTGAAACTAAGTTAGTTTGAGTTTTTCACAACCACAGGATTGCCACCACCCGCTAGGACTAAGGCGCAGATGCAGCTCATAAAGCGGTAGAAGATGAATAGATCTGAGCTAGCAAACAGACTGAAAACCTCATTTGCCCTATCCATGCTTCCCTTGTGCCAAGCCGCCAGTTTACAATTAACTACTCGTATGGGTTGCGTCACGGCTGGAAACATCCTTACACTTCCAAGCAGGACATAAACTTGGATGTGTGTATGAACATTCATCCATTCTTACGAGTTGACATAATGCAGTCAACTTTGCGTATAATGACACTCGGCGGTGCATCAGAAATGTGACCTTATTCGCGAAGTGTCCTTAAACCCGAAATCTCATTATATGTATTACAGTTAGATGGGCACTTTCCTCTGGGCATGGAAATTCTGTTGTTATTCACGAATTGTTGTTATATCCGCAGTCGTTATTAGCAAAGTTGACTATAATATACATACCCAAAGCTGTAGACAGCAAGCTGTTTCGGCCATATAGCCATCATCACTACATCTACAAGCTTTAAGTATGCCGAGTTGCCAACCATGGTGAAAAGGTGGCACCACAGACATTTTAAAAGACAACTCGTTGCTGTGCGTGTGTGGATGTGTGTGTGTGTGTGTGTGTGTGTGTATGTGGGTGGGTGTGTGTGTGGGTGGGTGGGTGTGTGTGGGTGTGTGGGTGTGTGTGTGTGAAAAGCCACTTCAATCAGCTGTGTGGTGGATACCAGGCTAAATTAGTGGCGGTCAATTCATCAGCCTTGCAAGCTGTTGAATGGTGTAATCCCAGCACAAGTTGCTATGTCTAACATAGCTGTTCGCTATCATCGCTTCCGCGATGTGCATGTCTGAGGTCTGAGGTGTGTGTGTCTGTGTGTGTGTGTGTGTGTATGTGTGGTGCATGCGTTTGTGTGTGTGTGGGGGGGGGGGGGGGGGGGAGGGTTGGCATGTATAAAAGTATACATGACAAAACTGAAATGGAGCCACATGCATGTAGCACAACAGTGATTTAGATGCCAAGAATCCTTGCCAGGTTAGCCATTGCCATGGTATAAGCATACTTAGATCAACCACTGATGATGTACTGGTCCAGACTGGAGTGATGCACATCCACACTCTAGCAGCTGGCTGTGTTAAAATTACGTGTACGGCTTGCCTTAAATCATCTTTTTATCATAAATCATTTTTTTGTATGTTTGTTCATGTTTTTATGCCATGTATACCTTGCTTAGATGAGGACGAAAATTCGTACGGCGACCCGTTCAAACAAAGTGCCTTTCTAACCCGTATCTCACCTTGGCTGGGCACATTACCAGCAGGAACATTTCGTAAAATGGCGCAAGGGGCCGGGTTCTTTGCCGATCTGGAGCAGATAGACGACTTGAAGAGGATTGAGAGACGAGATGGACCACGCGCTCACAACGAAGAGTTGGTCAACATTGTAAGCAGCGAGGAACAGGCTGGCTACATCAAGCTGGTGAAGATCATCAAACGCTGGGGTAAATATCCCGACAAGGTCGACAAGATGAACCAGCTTCTGCCACGACGGGCCCGTGTGTAAACGGTAGGTTGCATTCATTTCTTGCACTACCTGAATTCCGAATAAGTCATTGCAACGTACGTCTGTTGTTTGGCTGTGATGATGTATTTCTCATCAGATATTGTCCCAGTTGTGATAGAAAGTATGTTGAAGAGGTATCCGTTGTTCATAAATCAAGATTGAGAAAAGTCAAATTTTCTTATTATTATTATTATTATAGGCTTTTCCGCGTTGGCATCGCCAAGCAAGCTTGGCTAGCCTTCGCATAAGCTGCTCCATAATGATGAGACGAAACAATGAATGTATGTATACACGATCTAGGACAGAACCAAGGTTGAGGATATGTTTGAAGAAAGCTGCAAGTTGTGTTGAGGAACACAAAGTTGCAAACTCTACGAAAGTAAACTGCAAGAAATGTTTTGGGGTTGATCTCATGATTATTGTAGTCACAGGTTGTGTTAGTAGCATTCAAGGTTGTGTTTTCACAGGTATATTGTTTACATTCCTATTCTTTTACAGGATAATATTTTCACAAAATATGTTAGTCAATGAGTTATGTTATGGTACACCGTACGGCCATGCAGCTGCCACAGGTGGAAGCAGTATTATTAGGCTTTGATGTATGCTTTTATCACATTGCTGCATAGGTCTTTCCAGTCTTGTCGTGACTGGGAGATGGCATGGAGGTTCTCAAGTTCCTCGCGTTTCTTGAGCGACCCCCCGATACGCTGCAGGTCCTGGTGCAGACTCAGTGGCAGAGTGGTACGTGGCCGGCCCCGCCAGGTGGCAGCGGAACTTGGGTTTTCGAAGTATGCTGCCATCATAACGCGTGCTGGTACATCGTCGTTTAGTCTCAGGACATGGCCAAAGAGCCGCCACCTCGCTCTCACAATGGTTTCCCCAAGGGGCTGGGAGTTGGTGCGTTTATACAGCTCGCTATTTTTGATGACTTGAGGGTACTTGATCCCGACGACTGTTCTCAATTGACGTCTGTGGAATGCTTCCAATCGCTTGATGACATTGCTTGGGACTCCCCATGTTGAGCAATTGTACAGAAGTATTGGTGTGATAAATGCATTGTATAGCTTGACACGTCTGTTCTCTCTCACCTGCGAGCCTCTCACCCACAGTGCCCAAAGCCGTTGAAACGCACCTGTGGCCAGCTGCATACGCCGAGATACATCTTCCCTGTCACCCAGTAGCGATCCCAGCTTCCGGGTCAGCCTCCATTCTTCTGCAATGCAGTCGCTGAACCTCTCGATATGGGTGAATTCTGTCTTGGCGGAGTTAACTGTCAAATCCCATTGCTTTAAGGTGTCCCCAATAACAGGGAGGCATGATTGGAGGTCAGCTCCCCTAGATGACAGAAAGTCAACATCATCAGCATATGATGTGTCAGTTGGGAGGTGACACATCAAATTTTCTTACGACTGGAAATTTGGAGCACATATACTGATATGTACTATATTTTGCGGAGTGTTAGCCGCACCTTAAAACACCTTAAAACACCTTAAAACACCTGAAAACTGTTTAAAATTGTGTGCATCAGTGTGGATTTACGTGTATGTGTATATGTGTGTGTGTGTGTGTGTGTGTGTGTGTGTGTGTGAGTGTGTGTGTGTGAGTGTGTGTGTGTGTGTGTGTGTGTGTGTGTGTTTGTATGTGTGTGTACATGTGCATGCATCCAATCCATTCCGGCTACGGTGTATGCTATAATGTGAACGTCTTCGTGTTCGTGCGGTATTCTCTGTTTGCTCCGTCACAGATTGAGGTTTCAAGCACTTCACGCAGCAAGTGCTGGTACTGTTCTCTCTCTCTCTCTCTCTCTCTCTCTCTCTCTCTCTCTCTCTCTCTCTCTCTCTCTCTCTCTCTCTCTCTCTCTCTCTCTCTCTCTATCTATCTCTATCTCTCTCTCTCTCTCTCTCTCTCTATCTATCTCTCTCTCTCTCTCTCTCTCTCTCTCTCTCTCTCTCTCTCCGTGGTGTGTTCTCTATATTACTGACTGGCTATGCTATTCATCAAATCCATTCTTCCTTAGTCATTTTTACCAAATTGTAGCAACATTATGTTATGCTTGATGACTACCCCACTAAATATTTCCTTCCTCTATATAAATGTACTCCCCCCTCCCCACCCCTTGTCCCTACTCCTCCCCAGTTTTTGGTGCACTGAAGTGTCGCTTAAGCCGAGACCTCAGGTCGGCAGAGATGCTCCAGTTTCACCACCACAGTTGCGCCTGCAACCACCTCTATCATGCAGTATTCTGTTCTGGAGGTTCGTGGTTTCCCGTAAAAAAAATGAAATATTCTAGTAGGTTAGGCAGTAAAGACTGCTAATTGTAGAGGACCACACCAGGGTACTTTGCCCGTTGCAGAATTACTACTTATAGTCATGCAGATACTTGAAACTTTTCTTTTTAATTTTATGAATGCATATATTGGAATATTTTCATTATGCCGAGGTATACCGTTAGACTATTTTAGTGATATAAAATATTTTTGATCAAGTTCCTTCTTTTCGAAATTCCAGTCACTTATACAATGTCATGTACATACACAATTATTACAAAACGGAATTTTAAGTTTGCGCTATCAGAATTTCATTTTCACTTCAATACTGTAAGAGTGCCATGATTTCAATACCATTGGTGGTGGGTCACATGTTGTACAAACTCTAAAACAAACATTTTCTTCTCA